AAGCAAATACATGGAGACAGTAGATTCATGTTTAAAGGATAGGAAAGTGGAAAATTAGGAATGAGTGTTAGACAATACAGGTTTTATTTTCAGAGTGGTAAAAATTTTTGAAAAACCCTAACATACTAAAACATACTAAATGCACTAAAATATACATTTTACTATTTAAAATTTAGAGCATATAAGTTATATTTTTTAAAATTTTCTAATGTTTTATATTTCCTGTGTATTGTTTTATTTTGATAAGGAAAATTGTGTTCATAATCAAATCTTCATATATATTGTTCAATCTATGATTTTTTTTTAATTTTCTATGTGTTTTTCAGTGTATCTATCATTAAGTGCATTTTTGACTTGTGATATTCTTATGGCTTCATTAGAACTTGTATTACACCATTGTGAGCTGAGGAACATATATAATTATTAACATACCTAGCATATCTTTAAAAAGAAGACTTTTGGGATAGACTTCTTTTTTTTTAATTTCCAAATATTTGTGATATTACCAAATTTATTCCTGTAACTCATGCTTAGATTTATACCAAGTTATGAGAAGTGATACCTCATATTATTTTTCAATCTTCATAAATTTTTTTATACAATTTTGTGTTCTAATATGTGATCTGTGATGGAGAATGCTCCATGTGCAATTGGGAAGAATATGCAGTCTTTAGCTGTTAGATTGGATGTTCTATATGTGTCTGTTAAGTTCACTGAATCTTCATGTATTTTTGGCCAATAGCTAGCACCTCCTTTTGTCTGTTGGTGATAACGTATTTCCTTGATTGTCTTGATGTTTGTTGTCATGCATCAATGTTTGTGCATTTAAAGAAGTAGGGACTTATCCCAGTCTCTCAGCTTGCCTTTGTCTGAGAAAGGTTCTGTGTAACATTCATGTTCACTGTAAGCACAGAGTAGCTGTGGCTGGCATGGCACTTCCAGAAGCTCAGGGCTGATGTGGTCAGTGCAGAAATGTGGCATTCTTGAAGCCCTTGAGGTGTGCCAGTATTCTAGGATGTGTGGAGTCCATGACCATGAAAGTCAGCCTGGCAGTGATACAAGTTGGAGATGGTCCTATAAGCCTGAAGCCTGTGGCCATGTGGTCCTGTCTAATGCCAGGTCAGGTTTGTAATCTCAGTGTGCAGGTAGTGGCCTGGAATGTGGAACTGTGGGGTCTGTCAATGACGGGCTTTCTTTTGGCAGGGGCAGTGGTGGTGTCCCAGGTAAGGTCCTACGTGCCCTTCACTTTTCCAAATGTGTAGCATTCCTCTAGGTTCTGTGTTGCCTGGAGATGAGGGAGATATGACCCAAGTAAGGTAACACTGTCCTTCCTAGAAACTTCCATGTGTAATTTTATTATTAAATAATAATAATATTTATATTATATTAAATAATAATCCAAACACTGTTATCTTCCACTTGTTTTCTTAACTCTTCTGAAGGAATTTCTGGGCATGCAGATTTATATTTGGGGGGTGGGAGAGGGATGGTGAACAGAGTTCACCTCCAATCATGTGCCAGTATCCACCTCAGTATAGTTTCTTTATAAAGTCAAATATGTTACAAAGTGTTTCAGAAAAGTACAAATGAAGGACTGGTCACAAAGGCATTTAGATAATAAACTGGAAAACATCTGTTGTATCTTTTTATATCAAAAATATAGAATGCATGGAAGAGCTTCAAAATGAACAAAAAGCTGCTTTGTAATGATATGATTTAATTTGCTATGAAAATTTAGACATGATTTATATCTGCTCAAAGATCAATGTAGCAACCAATGTTCTAAAGTAGGGAATTTGGCATACAAGGGAAAGGAAGGAAAAATAGTATTCTAATATTGGAAAACCTATTATACCTCCAATAAAACCAGTCAATGAATCATTAAAAAGACAGAAAACATAATGCACAGTTGAAAGATTGTTTTTATACATGAGTTTATATTAAACACTAACTCCAAATAAGAGGGGTTCCTTTCAATTCTAAAGCATGTGAAGTAATTGTGAAATATTGTCATATATTAGCTTAAAAAGAGATCTGATGTAGAAAATAATATAAAAGGCATTCTGTTTAAAAGTAAATAAAATAAAACTTCTTTGATATTTTTATGTAGGCAATTAAAAACAAAATTTAAAAGCACTACCACTACAACCCCAGCCCAGAGACCTTTATTTATTTATATACAGGGCTGAGAATCAAACGGGTGCCTCACATATGCCAGGCAAGTGCACTACCACTGAACCACAGCCACAGCTCTGGATTGATTTTTGTGAAGTTAAAATATAGCAACCTGGTTTTCTACATATGGTTATTCAATATTTCCATCACTATTTCTGACAATGCTATCTTCTCCAAAGTTTGTTTTTGACACCTTTGTCAAGAATCAGGTGGCAGTTACTGAGTGGATTTGATTCTATGTCCTCTATTCTGTTCTATTGTCTACTGGTCTATGGCTCTCTATTACAGTTTGACATTGGGCATGGTGATGCCTGCAGCATTGCTGTTTTTTCTCAGGTTTGTTTTGGCTATTTTGGATCTTATATTTTTCCATATGGATTTTAGGACCATTTTCACCAGTTCTGTGAACAATATCATTAGTATTTTGATGATTATTGCATTTAATCTGTATATCACTTTTGGTAATATGGCCATTTAAGAAAATTAATTCTTATGATTCATAAAAATAGGTCTTTCCATAAACTGTATGTTAAGTGATAATGCATATCATTGTTCTAGATGACATAAAATAGATCAGATAATAAAAGACATAAATAAAAATTCATGATATATAAAAATGATAAGTGAAGCAGGTACACTTAAGAAAGAAGGAATATAGAGAGACACAGAGGAGGTAAATTGGTAACATCATCATGTAACAATGAGATCAGTATTCAGAAGAGATAAAATGTCTCTTTGTGTTGAAAATGAGATCTGTTAGAACAAAGGCTAAATGAGAGCATAAAAGATGATGAGTCAAGTCAGCCAGTCAGTTATACCTGACTCTGACCTATGCTTCTTTTATTATACTTCAATTTAAGAATCACCTAGATGTATGACAATGTCCAGTCTCTTTTATGAGAAAGTAAAGAATGTGTTTTCCATCCATGATCTGTGTGATTTATTAAAAAAGGAAGAAATACACCCTCACAAAATATTCCAGTAATGAACCTAGGAATTTATGTATATTATCTGTGGTATGTGATCCGGTGTATAAGTTGACTGCTACAGATGCATAAATTTCAAGATTGAATTAAAGTTGGACACCAGGCACTTTATGAAAAGCAGTATGGATTTAGGTTATCTGTAGGTTTGCCATTGATCAGGTGATATATGATCAAGATAGTTAGATATAAAGTGACACATACTTGCAAGTATGGGATCCCATGCAGTTTGATATCTATGGATATGACATCTATGGATATGTTTTAAAGTAAAGATTACACATACACATAGCTCTCTATGAGGGTATATACATATGCATGCACATATATGCACAAATATCATATATATTATATATTAATTATTATTAATTATAATTATTAATTATATTATATATATAATACCTTTGAAGTAATCAAACGAAATGTCTCCTCATCACCTCTCCCTCAATTTCTACCATTTTCTCCTTCCTTACTTCCATCCTTTCTTCCTTTGTTCCTTCCTTCCTTTCTCCCTTCCTACTTCCTCCCACCCTCTGCCCTTCCCTCTTTCCTTCTACATTTATTTTTTACTGGTTTAAATTATAATCTTATATATTTAATATGTATAATTAAGCATATATAATATTATAATTATATTGTCTATTAATTATAATTATTAATTATAATATTGTATACTAAATATTTATATATTATATATTAATTAAATATTATATATAATTTATTATATTGAAATTGAAATGTTGCAGAAAGTGTTATGTTTACTTCAAAGTGATAATTAGTAAAAAGAGAAGTTTTGGGTGGAACTTAATCAAACATACCTGGTGTCATTGTAAAAATGAGAGTTTGGGGCACAGACATAGAGAAGGAAGACCACATGAAGACAGAGAGACAAGGTGGTCATCCACAAACTACAGAGAGAAGCCGCAAAAGAAATCAATCTGCCAACAACTTATTTTTGAACAATACTTCCAAGAACCATGAAAAAATAAATTTCTGTTGTAAAAGCCACTCATTCTGTGGTATATTGTTATGGCAGCCCTAGAAAACTAATAAATCTGTACCAGCATACATGTATATATGCATGCATACATGTATGTGAGTGTGTATGTGCCACAGTCTGGCTGGGCACACAATCACGAGCCACCACACAGCTTGTAGATTCAAACAGCAACTCTTTATTCCCGAACTCACACCAGCCGTCTACAAACACGTTCTGGGGAGATCCACGTTCTCTGCCCAAATCCAAATCCACTGGGCTTCTATCTCCAAAATATACTGTCTGAATCCCCTGAGAACTCAAGGGGAACTCAGGCAGCAGGATACGCCCTATTCCCAGGAGGAATAATCTTAAACCTGGAACGCCCTAAACTGGAACGCCCTAAACCCAATTATCTTAAACCAGGAACACCCTAATCCCGGATCCGCCCTGGTCCTTGAGCAAGGTCACCTACATTCAATGTCACTGCAACATGGGGTACACTGGCAAGGAAATTGTCATACCTACTTGGCTAATGGCTCCCAGCATGTATGCATATGAATTCATAAACAAGTAGATGATATTTTCATACCTGTACACAAATTGAGAAGACGATTTAACATGATCTTATTTTAAACTGTTCAATGAAACAATAAAACATAATACAAATATGTAGTTAAATAATGATAATAAATTAAAAAATTTAAAATCAATGAGTTAACATGTTTCAGAAAAATTAAAAATCATTATTTTACCTCCATAATGGTTTTAAAACTTCAGAGGTAAATTTAAAAGAGAGTTCAATAAATGAAAATAATTAATAAGCTAAAAGAAAACATTTTAGTGTTTAGTGTGAAAATTTGATTTTATCCATACACACATTTTCCCCCAAAAGTCTTTTCATTGCCTCTTCTCAAACTATAGATGATGGGATTCAGCATGGGAATCATGATGGTGTAAAATATTGACACTATCATGTCATGTTCCAGAGCATAGCTGGAACTTGGTCTCACATACATGAAGAGGATGGTCCCATGATAAATGGATACTCCAGTCAAGTGGGAGCCACAGGTGGAGAACACTTTCTTCCTCCCTTCAGCAGAATGCATCTTCAGAATGGCCAACAGGATGAAGCCATAGGAGATCAGGACAATCAGGATGGTGACTATCTCAATGGAGCTCACAAAGAGGAAGAGCAGAAGCTCATTTATGTGAGTGTCAGAACAAGAAATGGCAAGTAGAAGAGGGATGTCACAGAATATGTGTCTGATTACATTGGATCCACAGAAGGACAGGCTAAAAGTGGCCACTGTATGTAAAATGGCATGAAGAATTCCTCCAACACAGGAAGCCATGATGAGTGGCACATAGACCCTGGGTGACATGCTCACTGAATACAGAAGTGGGTTGTAGATGGCCACATAGCGATCATAAGCCATTGCAGCTAAGAGAAAGCATTCTGTGGTTCCAAAAGTAACAGCAAGAAATGATTGTGTTGCACATCCATAATATGAAATTATTTTACTTTTTGATATAAAATTTGCTAACATATTAGGGGTAATATCTGTAGAATAGCAGGCATCCACAGAAGACAACACACTCAGAAAATAGTACATGGGATTGTGGAGCCGGGAATCCAAGATGACCAATCCAGTCAGTCCTAAATTTCCTAGGAGAGTAAAGAGGTAAACTGCTAGAAACAGGAAAAAGAGAATCATTTGCAGGTCATTGCTGTCTGTGAATCCCTTGAGTACAAATGCATTAACTTCAGTGTCATTCTTCATGGTTTAATGTCATAAAACATACATGAAGATTCAGAAGATCATAGTTCATGTTGCTATGAAAATAATGAACAATATTGTGAGTCAAAAGAAATTATATTTTTTAACATTTTGTTGTTGCATAATGATTATGAATACTAGTTGATTTATTAACTAGTTCTATTAGCATCGTTACATTAAATTACACTAACACTTCAAGTGAGCAGTTAAAAAATCATTTTTATAAAATGAAATACATGAGATAGTATAGAAGGAGACAGTCCACATGGATAGAGTGGTAAGAATTTCAGAACATTCAGAAATGTGAAAAGACTTACTATTCTTCAGTAGAATTCAAGCCCTCTTTATTGTACATCAATGGGACGAATAATGAAGGAATATGTTAATAAAATTTAATCATTAAACTAACTTAAAATATAAAATATACTGAGTTGCATTGCTTTCACAGAGTAACAGATGTCTGTATTTTATTTTATGAGCTAATTTTTGAAATTGTTCTATCTTCACTAGGTTTTATTGGGATTATCCGAATTAAACTAATGTTTTGAGGGGGAAGATGTAACACGAAATTTACATAACAGCATGTAACATTCATATTTCTTTCTCAAGTATTGCTTATTGCCTGATCCCTTTACAGCTATACAAGTGAACTTTATGTTTTTTAATTTTAACTCTTCCTTCCTTCCTTCCTTCCTTCCTTCCTTCCTTCCTTCCTTCCTTCCTTCCTACCTTCCTTCCCACTCCCGCCCACCCTCTGTCCTTCCTTCTTTCCTTATACATTAACTTTTTACTGATTTAAATTATAATCTTATTGAAAACTATTCTCATCCTGAAAGGGTGCTTTTATTCTTTAATTCCAGTCAGACTATAACCTTGGAGCATGGAATATAATCAAAGAATATTTACTTTAAAGGACATTAATAAATTTAAGTAACATACACAAACTACAAATACAGAGCATGTCTTGCCACAATATGTTCCCATCATAATATGTCTACGCTTATTTTTCCCTTTTTGGAAAACTCTCCCACTGATACTTTTAATCATGTATATCAACTTATGCAAATGAAGACTGTGAAAGAGATATTTAAAGCATTTTATAATTTAAGATTTTAAAAGTGTATATAATAAGACGATTGTCAACAATATGAAAGCATAAGCCACACCCAGGAGAAAGTAGATACTACCATGCACTGCTTGAATTAATAAATACATAATGTACTAAAAATCCATAAAAAGTGGACAAAGTGATGCTACAGACAATTACAAAAAGTAAAACCAACTTTGATGAGCAAGTCATGCATGTATCTGTATGTGTAAAAGAGATATAAAAGAGAATTTTCATGACTCAAAATGACATCACATATAAAAGTCTTATGATTTCATAAAAAAATAACAAAAATTGAAAAATTTCTGACTACAAAGTGATGGTGAGGGCATGAAGCAGAGCAAATATCCCCACCCCATTGGTATGCGTATTAAAATCACTGCCACTTATGGAAATTATTTATCAATGTTCGATAGATTTATATATGTACATGTATATGCATTATATATCATTATATATGTATATATATTTATACACATATACATATATATATATATATAAACAAAATCAGAGATAATATGGAGGTTAATGAGTTAATATGGATGAGTCTAAAATATTCATCTGAGTGAAAAGGAAAAAAAGAAATTTGAATATACAGAACATGATAATTAATATTATCTTTTATAGAATTATCTATCTACTTATTTATTTATTTACGGTACTAGGAATTGAAGCCATGAGCACTTTACCACTGAGCTACATCCCCCAACCTATTTTATTTATTTATTCTTATTTTGAGGTTTTCACTAAGTTGCCCAGGCTGACCTTGAACTTATGATCCTCTAGCTTCAGATGCACAAATCATGGGGATTACAGTCATGCACCACCACATTCAGCCAGTGTTATTAGATCATGTGCAAAAACCCTTTAATCCATTACTTAGTTCAGAAATATATGGATAACCAATGACAGTTTGCATATGAATGGTTAATTGTTGAAAAGGTATTCTCTGGGTGAAGGAGGTAGTTTTACAGATTCAGGGTAACAAATTAACCAGAAGCAGGAGGATAACACAAACAATTTCAATTTCATAAATTAGTTTATGTGTCAAAAGTAAACCTAAGATGGAATAATAAGTATATAAAAGTTACTTATATTTTCTTATAATTTTTTTGGGAAAAAAAGAGGACTGGGAAAATGAAAGAAGAGTGAAATTAATGTATCCAAAAATTTGTATATATATATATCATAATGAATCCCAACACCAAGTAGTTCCACTATATATATATATATATA